TGAACAAAATTCATTTTGCATAGTATATAATATTTGTAGGAAACATAAATCTGTTTAGTATCTATCCAACAAGAATAACCTCATGATCCTATCAAGATAGGTCGATAAACGCGTTTGTATATATCTACATGGTTGGTTGGTTGGTTAGTTGGTTGGTTGGTTGGTTGGTTGGTTGGTTGGTTGGTTGGTTGCTTACACCGATCTAGGTACAACGAACTACGAGCTTACGTGGATCTAGAAAAATGTGGCTATTCGTGGCTCTCTCCTTAAATAGATTCTCATCCATCTTCGGATTGCTATCGAAGGTATACACGAGTAACATACAAGTTTGTGTCTATGGAATATTGCGTAGGTGGAAATTCAGATCTCGTTCGTACGTTCATTCGTTCATACGTTCGTTCTTACATTCGTTTGTACGTTCTTTTAGTTTAGTTTAGTTTAGTTTAGTTTAGTTTACTGTTAACTATTTGCATTTGTAAATCAAGAAAATAGAAATGTTAAGGTAAACGAGATAAGATTTTGTTTTTACAATTAAATCGATTGAAACCAGTTACGTTTATTAAACGTTTATACGATTTATAAATGACTACGATCAATGTTGTCAAACTGTATTTTTATTATATCGATTAGAAATAAATGATTAATTGAAATTGTTAAATGTTTTCGTGTAATTCTAGTGCGAATATATGTATTATCAATATTGTTAAGTTTATTGTTAGTGATATGTGTTGCAGGGTAACTGGATAAGAGAAAATGCATGCAAGAAAATTCGTTTGAAAGAGGAGGAGGAGGAGGAGGATACGAACTGAGAAGAATTGGTAATGCGAAGATACTGCCAAATGCTTGTTGTTTTAAGTATCATAAAACTTAAGTAAAAAGATAATCGTAGATATTAATTTTTTTAATATTGTCACAATTTCACAAAAGTTAGATTTTAAATTGTACACAAATTTCGACAAATTATCGAACAAATACAAACTTTTGATTTTCGATATAGTAAAAAAGGATAGATAAATAATCGATAAAAAGAAAACAAAACAATCTTCAATATTATACGTAAAGAAAAAACAAACTAAAATTCTATTGATTTAATGAAAATCATTAAACAATATAATTCCAAATGTGTCATCATTTAAATATAAATCCAA